TAAGACCAGACAAAAAACTCACCCAGGTCTCCTGAATGCCAGTCTAGTGCTTTAACCACCGGGGTATCAGTGCTTGCACAAGTAAAAGATTAGGCCCTAGCCTAATCAAACCAAATTGTTCCAGTAACTGAACTGGTGTCAATGCAGATGTGCCCAAAGAAGAGCTGGAGGTGTTTGCTTCTTCTTTTGCAGCTGCTGTGTTTGTAGTTCAGCTGAGCGCATGGTTCTGGGAGGAGCAGACCCAGATGTTAGACAGCTCTTCAGATTCTGCCTAAGCTCATTTCTTTCAGTAATGCTTTATACTGCTTTATACAACAGGACAGTTCTTACATCTCCACTGGAACCCTATAACAGGACTACATTTCACTTAAATGGGAATGAAATTTAAAAGCTGCCACACAGCCATAGAGCACTGCATGGACGGCAGCCCTGTGATGTGAGACACAAGCAGAGAGGGAAAGGGAAAGTCCAGTTGTAGTCAACATACAACTCTTACTTGGCTTGAGTTTGCTTGGTTGCTGCTGGAAAGATTTTAGAGATTAGATGGAAGACCAGTAATATAATTTGTCTTTCTGCTGTACAGATTATGCCTGAGGGAGGAGGTGGGAAATGCTTTGGAGACACAAGGGGGAAGTGCCTATTACAGTTCATTCCTGAAAGGCACTACAGACCTTCTGACTACCATAATACCTTTTTTTATGAAGAAAGTGTGGTGGCCAGCAGAGAGGATGGCTGCAATTTCAGGCAGGTTCCCTGGGCTATTCTCAGGCAAGATGTGAAGCCACTGAGTTACTATCGGGATTACTCTATTCTTAGTATCACAGCGTGTGTTCACTCCCCACATGCCACCACCTAAATATAGTCCATACTGGAGAACAGATGCTGCCAAATTGCATCTGACCCCTTCTCCCTTGCATTCTGTTCCCAAAAGCTAGGCTGAATTCACCCAAGACACATCCAATAGCCAGGGCGTCCTTTTGTGTCTTCAGGGCTACACTAAGAGAATTCTTCTCTAGCCAGATCATCATCCTAGCCTTCTTGGCCTAGCACTGGTCTTCCCTTCAACACCTTTTCTTCTTCCCTGTATTTTTCATTTGTTGCATTCACTCTTTTCATTTTTGTCTCAGCTGCTTCTGTCCTTTCTCTCCCACCTGATTCAATATGATCAATTAGAGGAACAGGGCAATGTAACAAAGGAAAAGAGGAAATGTACATGCACATACATAGGCCCTGTAGACAACTAAACCGCTCTGGTGAGAGCTGTTTTATCACAACAGAAGTCTCCGGTGTGAATGCAGTGAGAGGGACAATTTTCTATGTGCAAATGTGTTTCATTAAGTTGTATTTCCAGTATTCCACACTGATTTATATTTCCAGTAGCATAAATCAGTAAGGCTCTGATATTGAGATTCCATAAATGAAGCTGTAATCACAGAATAATGGAATTATTTGGGTTGGAAAGGAACCTTAAAATTTACGTAGTTCCAACCCCACTGCCACGGGCACAGATAATGTCTGCTAGACCAGGTTGTTAAAAGCCCATCCGACCTGTCCTCGAACACATCCAGGGATAGAGCATCCATAGCTTTTCTGGGCAACCTAGTCCAGAGCTTTGTGACCCTCATAATAAAGAATTTCTTCCTGAGATTTAAATGTATCCTTCTTCAGTATTTCTCCATCATGAACCAAGGTGTACTGTAGGGAGGGAGGTTTCTGCAGAGACAAGGAGTCAAAGGTATAACAGATAAGTAGTTACAAGACAATTTGTGAGGTCTTCCCCTCCAAAGGGAGAGGTCAGTCCTTGCCAGAGATCAGAAAGTGCAGCTCCGTAGAGCTATTCCAGGCCACTTCTCAGAGACCCTTACTGCTGCCTCTGGCTTGCACAAGAAAGTGTTCAGGGATCTGCTTCACAAAGCAGAGGGGATTTCTCTTTGAAATGCCACTTGTCCCATCCTTCTAGAAGGATTCTTTTCCCCTCCTCTCCCATACCGTTCAGAAGAGCTGCTGGGTGGCACATCCTTTCTTCCCGCAGCCTGTACAAGCAGCTCCTGTCAGCGGCACTCGCTGAGGCTGCCGGGCGCCCAGGAGAGGGCACCTTCTGGACATAGGGAGCAAGTAGTGAGTCTGAGGGCAGTCTGACCTTCAGGGCGGGCAGCGAGCCTGGCTGGCGGCATGGGCTCCCAGCCTGGCCTAGTGCCTCGAGGACTCGGTGCTGCCCTCCCTGAGAGCGAGATGTGCAGGCTGCAGGGTGTTGTTGTTCAAGGTCTGCATAGCACTGTGCTGGCAGTCACACGCTAACTGGCAGGCTGATGCTGCTCTCTGTCCCCTGGCTCCGGCAGACTGCACCCTGCTGACAAGGTCCCATCCTTTCTGTATGGCATGCTGACGGCCTCCTCACTCTGCAGATTGCCCTTCTGCCTTTCTCCTCTCCGGCAAATGCAGTGGGGGTAGGAGTTGTCATTATGAAGCTGTAAATTGTTGGTTTCCCTCTGCCTTTGGGAAGCAGATCTGTAAAATTCCAAGGGAAGATTTACAAACCTGTGGAAGACTGACAGCCAGGAATGCTTACATGCTACTTCAGACTCTGCAGGTCCCTCCTGGGCTTGCCACTGGTCCTGTTTTCCCTAGGAGGAATGGAGAGAGGCAGAAATCTCCTGAGTTTCAGGACTAGCTTGCAGCTCCCACAGCAGCCCTGAAGTAACCACAGTTACTTTTGCACATGAGCCCTCTGCTGCCCTGGTTAAGTTCTGACCACAGAGCAAGCCAGAATCACTGGGCTGGCACCTCTGCTTGCCACAAAATGAATGGGTTGCCTGCTGGCATTGCTCAACCTACACAGGACAGCACATGTCCCAGCAGCCTACTCTGAGCTAAAGGTGCTTGAGGGGGCAGCAGTAGGCTGCCTGCCTGGGAATGCCAAGTGGTTCTCTGCAGGTTCCAGCAGGGCCCAAGGGCTCGCAGAAAGCTCTTGAGCCTCTCATATGGGTGGTCACCAGCCCAGAGCCAGCTGGCTTCAGTGAGCATGGAGGAGTACTATGGGATGTAAAGAATGCTCTCAGAACCTCCAGACAACATTTAACCCCTTCGTTGTTCCATAACTGAGAGACATACTCAGTAAGTGTGTTCTTATGCAGAACACAAAGCACTTGGCTGTGGAGCAGCAGCTGTCCTTTTGAGTAACACCAATGAGATACCTTTGGTCACCCTCCCTACAGCCCTAACACTAACCCTCTGCATTAGCTGCTGTCGCAGTAGGCAGCACTGGAAAACACGTCTGCTATCTCTTCTTAGTTAACAGCTGCACTTAGAGGGAGTATCAGGAAGCAATATTTGTACTGTAACAGCAGAAATGTAGTTCTTCAGCATTGCAGACCCACATGTTCTCATTCCTAGTTTATATTAACAAGAAGAGAGATAAAAGGCTAAGATGACAGAAGTTGATGGCTGTGGCAGCTGGGATGAGCGAATCCCTATTTTAAGCATGCAGACAAAATTTGGGGTCAAGCTGGAGAGGCTACAGAGGGATGAAGTGCCAGTGAACATACAAACAACTCAGAGCATAGGGCCCCTCTTGCTATCTTCTTAACACTTCTCAGTCCTGCTGACAGGCTGACCTACAGGCAGTACTGCTCTTGCCTCTTGACATGGGTGGGCAGGGCTAAGCCTGGTCACATGCTGATTATGCAGAGCCTTCGGTTCAGACCAGCCAGCCATGCCGAGGGATGTCCTCAGGGCTTCAGCTCTCTTCTGCCCCTTGAGGGAATGACAGTAGAGTAGCAGTCCTCTCACATCTCCTTCCATGGTAGTGAGGGCAGAGAAGCTTGTAGAATTCCACGCAGACTCCCAAAGCATTTTGTCTGAGTCCAGTTGCTTGAGCTACAAGGCTGTAAGGTGTGGGAGAAGGTGCCTGGCAGTGCATTACATCTCTGCAGGAATCTGTCTCACTTCTTTCACTGAATCTTCTGTCAAACAACTCTGCACAGATTTGTTTCTCACGTAACTGCAAGATCTGAAGAAAATATATAGAAGCATTTATAAATCTAGCATATTTCATCCTGATTTACTCTTATGCAGTGTTTTTGTCTGGCTATTTTTTCATGTGCAAACTAAGTGCATTATGAGTGCCAAGCTGTCCTATAAGAAGGTTGTCACACTGCTGATCTACATGAGAGGTCTGTGTTTTTGAGCTCAGTGGACACTTGGTTTGCTTGCTAGCCCCAGCAGGAACCCTAGACTGTGTTGGGGGTTTCAGTGAGAAGTTCAACACATGTCATGGAACAGAAGAAAGAGTAAATGCTTGATGTGTAATGGCCACAAGAGGCCAGACTGGGTGCTAGTCTGACACTAGAGCCTCAAACTCCATTTTCAGATATGGCAATGCATATCCTGCACAACTCCTGTTAAGGCTAAAGATTTACTCCAAGTTTACACTTGTGTAACAGGACACCATGTGGCCTGATACGGATGTCCAGAAATATTTTGGCCAAAGCCACTCGAGCAGGAATTCTTGATGGCAGGAAGTGCCAGAGGGCCCCCAACTCCTCCCATTCTCAGCATCCCCAAGAACGGCATCCACAGGGACTTTGTGTGCAGGTCACACCACAGAAGCACAGTCATGGGTACAGCTGGGAATCCTGACACACAGCCATGTATAGGGAGAGTCTGGAATAAGTTCCCGTTCCTTCTCTGAAACACAAGCAACTTAGGAAACAGGGCATGAGAGATCAAGAGCAAGGTGCTCCAGAGTTTTAAATTTGCAGTGAAGGACTCAGACTAGGTTGGTGTTCAGGTAGAGCCTATGCTGGATCAGGGAATACAGAAACAGAAGGGCACAGGCAACATGGTCTTCCTTCAACTTGGCAGCGCAGTTGTCTTTAGGCCTTATTTTATTCTTTCAGAGAGAGAGCAATAGAAACGCCAGCAGGAGATGAGCAACTGAACTAAATGGCTACTATTCTTCCTTTCATCCCTATTCTTTCTCTCTTTTTTTTTTTTTCCAGATCCGAAAGCGAAGCAAAGCATGCCGTGGAGGCCTGTGGGAAAATGATGTGCTGGTATCTATCAATGGGAAGTCATGTGCTGGCCTCTCCCATGCTTCTGCCATGCAGATCATCGACTCATCCAATGGCATGCTCAATATCCGAGTGAAAAGGTAAGCTGTTTCCAAACACCAGGACTGTGACAGTACAGGCAGCAGAGCAGCTTCATCCAGCACAGCAGTTCTTCACATCCAGCAGGAGGAAGGCAAGCAGGGAGCCTTTAGTTTCTCTATACTATGAAGTGTACTAAGAGGAGATTCCTATAGCTAACACGGCCATCCAAAAGTTCAGCACTGTCTCTATGCTGCTCTCCAAGAACCTAGTACTGGTGCTGAACAGACTCCATACCTTTATGCTCCGCCCCCTCCAGCTGGAAGAAAATGTTTGCAATGTAAGAAATATGCTGTTAAAAATGAACAATATAGTTTCCAAACAAACAGTTGACATAGGGCAGTTTACCTCAGGAATTAACAGTCTCCGGTTCATTCTGGGTAAAAAACTCTTCAGTAGAAATGGATTTGACTATATATTGGATAACCGAGCCACCAGAAAGTCGCACAAAGGTTACCTGGATATTTACTACAGCAGGCCACTGTATTCCAATATGATATGAACTGACTTCTACAAAGAAGTGGGTAGGGGAGTCCTTTTTCTGGGAAGATGTATCTCTGCTGAGCTCTCCAGCAGAATGTTAGAAACAAGGATCAAATTTTAGGCATACAAACGATCCCAGTAACTTTGCTGTTTCTACCTTTGTGAAAGCAAGCCCAGTGCTTCACAGCATGTTAGATGAGGGCCAAGCTGTAAATCAATCAGGTAAAGACGAAGGCAGCAAAGCTGTGTGAGGACCTAAATAGTTCACACTACCACCGAAACAGAAGCTGCCCTCAGAAAATAAGACCCTGGTGAAGGGATCTGGGAGATGTAATTCTCTGTAGCCCTCAGAAGACAGAGCACTGTGAGCAAAGGGAAGGGAGAGCCACCCTTTTTACTGGCATCTGTACACTGGGGGCCAAGGAGAACAGTGCTCAGAGAAGGAAGGAAAGCAGGAGCATGTAGGCTACTTCCCTTGGCTACAGGGGAGGTGCCGGTGCCTTCTGATGTGCTCACTCTGTCAGCCAACTGTGATGAATTGGGATGAGTGAGCCCTGAACAGGGTGGCCAGAATAGCGCCTGGTCCCTAGCCAAGGCCTTATCTCACCCCTTTGGAGCCCATCTGCAGCCAACAGGTGCCTAGGCAAATTCTTTGGGCCAAAATCAGCACACTTTGAATTAGCAAAGTGACAGGCTTCTCACAGGATGCATGGATCAGCCCTCTGGGAGCCAATATTGGATGGATTGAGAATAACGTAACCAGTGAATAAAGTTGGCTTCATTTTGGTGTAGCAGAGAACTCATCAAATATTGCTTTCTCAACACATCTTTATTAACACTTCATATCTATATTCCCAGGGACAACACCAATCAGTTGCTTTCAGAGAGGACAGGTAGCTGGAAGACTGCAGTATGCGAGGTCATATATGCATTTCTGCTGGGGAATGTTTGTAAAGAGACAGGAGAAAGAGGCCTGAATGGATAGTGCAGAACAACAGAAAATAGCTTATAAGCAGCAATGATTTTCAGTTATCTGTTTATGTATTTAAAGAAAAGAAAGAACATTTCTGTTTTGCCTGAGGAGCTTTGCATTTTCTCCCCAGTAGGAATTCATACTATAAATATTATTAAAATAAATAAACTGTCAGGAGAATTGCCCACAGTTAGCTTCCACCAAGGTTTGACATGAATATAAATTTTTCACTGTTCAGAGGCTGGATAACAAACAATTGATATCATGAACCCACAGCTTTACAGAGGCATTGTTGTCTGCCTAGCTTCCCAGTAAGCATGCTCAGAAGGCTCCTTTATAATTCTAATGAATCCTCATGACTCTGGCAAGGGGAAGAAGTTCCCCAGCCCAGCTGTGTGGTTCAGAATCAAACAGATTTTGAGCGTTTAAGACTTGGTTTCCAAAGAGGTCATGAAGCAGAAACTCGGGATGAAAGCACACAGCTGATGTCAGAGATGAGTCTGCCCTTAGTGTCTGTACTGTGTGCACTGTAGATATCTGTCCCACAGAAAAGACACCTGAAACACCAGCTCAGCCTCTGTCCTTCCCTGTCCAGCGGGCTCCCTCCTCACATGCAGTTTCCTTCCAGCTCCCCTCACCAACTAGACCTCACTCACTGCTTTTCCTTCTCCCCGCAGGACAGTTGGTGGGGACCAGACTGGCCCGCGGCTTCAGCGCTCCCCTTCCCCAGGGCAGCGAGTGCTCTCCCCACCATCCGCACTCAGCCCCACGGCACAGCTCCTGAGCTCGGCTCCGGCAGGAGCCCCAGCCACCACACAGCCCTCACAGCCCCGTAAGCCACAGAGGCACCTGGACAGCCTCACCTCCCCACCGGATAGCGAGGCCTACTATGGTGAGACTGACAGTGATGCAGACAACGTGGCCCAGGAGAAGCACCGCCGGGCCCGCAAGAAGTCCCCACGCTCCCCGCCAGACGGCACCAACAGCAAGGCAGATCTGCCCCAGGACGAGGTGTCCCTGTCTGAGCAGAGCGGCTATGAGAGCTTGCCGGAGGCTGCCATGCAGAAGGAAGCCAAGGAGGCCAGCTACAGTGGGGTGGCCAAGAGGGAGATTGCCTGTCCACCCGGCAGCCGTGCAGACACCCCTTTCTCAGAGAGCGAGGGACAGTTGCGGCCGTCCTCAACAGAGGGTCGTGAGCCTTCTCCAGAGGCGATGCTCCTACCCCATGCCACCAAGGCTATCCGAGCAGAGCGCCATCTCATCCCCATGGTGGGGCCAGTGGAGCACCCAGTTGATGAAGATCTAACCACCACATATGCAGAGAAAGCCAAGCAGGCTAGTAAGTGCTTTGCACCTTGCCACTCATCCTTGCCCTCTTCCTATGCTTGATCTCCTTCTAAAATCCTCGTTCCTGCAAACGTCAAATGGGTTAGCTCCCCTAGCTTGTGAAGAAACCAAGTCGGCCCTGCAGAGATGGGAGCTTCCCATTGCACATTTGCCACTGGGGTCTGGATCACCAAGGATGTCCCAAGCACTAGATGAGAAAAAGGGCCTAGGGTCCAGGAGTCACTTCTAGGACTCCAGCCATACAATCAGCGATGTAGCAGCTAAGGTAGAATCAATCCACTTGAAGTATTGGCAGCAAATATAGGTGGGAGCTGGTAAATCAGTTACTCTGGCAGCTCCTTGTAGGGTGGGTATCTCTTGAGACCTTTCCAGGTAGAATAAAACACTGAAAAATTTAGAGTATTTCTTGGGTGATGGACCAGAAAGTGACCTCAGTTGAGAATATCTTTCCTGGTTTCTGCTATATACGGCATTTCAAACTCAAATACGATGACAGGGTAAGATGTTATTTGATTTCACAGTGGTGATCTAGCCAATAATATCAAATAAAAGGTAATAATATATATTTTTTTCATATGAGTGTATCAGTCAAATGATTAACTTCTACTTCTCTGAGCCTAGAAATTAAGCAGGTTTCAAAAAACTGACTTAATTGTGGAACAGACTGGGAAACTGAGACATAGAAAAGTTATTAGACCGAATCAGAGATAAAACACACACTAGACATCTTTTCCCCAGACCAGATAATATTTCAAAGCTATTGTTACAACACTCTTCCCTCTTTTTCTTGGTCCTTTAGAGGTAACTGTCAAATCGAGTCTGTATCTGCTCTACTCTGTGTTGAGGACAGACTCAGTTGAGTGCTTTATGTCAGGCCCTGCTTGGCAGTACAACTGACTTGATGCCTTGTAGTAGTTCTTCCTAGTCTATAACATTCACTTTCCCTAGAAGAGCAAAGAAATCAGCAGTTTCAGACTCTCTGACGATGAAGCTATTTTTTCCCCATTTGAATAATGTACAAGCATGAGGTGAATGGTGAGAAAGGCATGTTCAGCTGCTCCCTGCCATCTGATAGTCCTAGCAGTGGATGAGCGAATGCTTTACATCAAGGCTTATTTCCATGGATAGTATCAGCACACAAGGCTCCCAGGAAACCCAGGTATTTAATGCAGAACATTTCTGATGGCAAAATAATACCCCATGGCAGAAGGTGATGCAACTGCACTGCCAGCGAGAGGTAGGGCTCCTAGAAATATTAGAGGCTGAGCTGGTATTTTATTCTCGTATTACTCTTTCCACCCCTCATCCCCCTTCTGGATCATCTTTGGCTACAAGTGTCCTTATGTAAGAGTTGTTCTGCCATGGATTGCAATTCACAAGGCCAGCTTGGGTTTTTCTTGAATTATGAATCTTGGCAGTAAATGTGAGGGTAAAACTCTGTCTTGATTATGCTGGATTACAGTAGCCATTAAAAAAAAAATTGTGGGACTGCAGAGAGGCACTGATTCCTGCAAAGGGGCTGCTTGTAGAGATGCCATATCCATTGGAGGTACCGCAGCCATTGCCAGAAAGATGCAGCCTTGCAAGGATATTTGTACATGAATTGGCTTAGCTCCTATGCTTGCTCCAGGGCTCTTATGGAGCCAGAGCCAGAGCCAGAGCCAGATGAGTTTAAAGCTCTGTTTCTCTGCTGTCTCTTAGCAGTACACAAAGCACAGTAACCTACTCTGGGACAAGGGGACTTCCAGCTTTTGCCAAACCAGAACACAAAATCAAGCTCATGGCTTAGAAGCTAAACAACTTTTTAAAAACAGAGTTATGAAAAGTAGCTGACTTAGATGATCAATCACAGGAGCCTAGAGCTTGATACAGACACAGGAGACATTTAAAGACCATTCTGACTACCTAATCAGATGTTTGCCTTTTGGTGCACACCCTCCTCGTTTTGGCCTGACCATCCAGGCTGGATGTGGCTCTGAGCAGCCTGCTCTAGTAGTTGGTGACCCTGCCCATGGCAGGGGGTTGAAATTATATGATCTTTATGGTCCTTTTCAACTCAGGCTATTCTATGATTCTATGACCTTCATTTTTGTTATGGCTTCCACCACTATGCTGTAAGAATAACTCTTTTTTTTTTTTTTTTTGAACTGTCAACCAACTGGTTCCTCACCTTTTTTTTCTAGAATGTACTCATACAGCTTTCTCATGCTTGCTGTGATGTTTGCTCCAATTTGTTTTGTTTTTTTTTTTCTCTTTCTATTTGTATTCATTCTTTTTAACTTTCACTGTCATTCTTAAGCTGCATTCTCCCTTTCTTATCTCTTCCTGTACCTCAGGCGAGCAGCACTGCAGATTTCTGATCTGGACTGATTGCATACTCAAGAACATTAGCGAAACTATAAAATGCTTTCCATATTCCCCTCATTCTCTTTCCTACCCTTATCATGAAAGATTACCAGTCTTTATTCTGTGGTTGTTACTGGTTCATTTTCTGTTAATTTTCACATTTTTTCAGCACACACTCTTTTTTGCATCAAATTTACCAACTTTTGACAACCACAGTTTATTTCCCTGCTGAGTTGTTATAAATCATCTGGCAATTGCCAGAGGTGACACTGCTGTCTGATGCCTGCTTTGAACAGCAGTAACACAAAACAAGTGTAGCTCACTTACTCACCGTAGCCAACAGTTTGACCCCAGGAGCAGAACATAGCACAGTGGCAATTAGAAACAGCCTGAACAAGGATTTGGCAGAGGATGAGATGGAACAAAGGAAGCACACTGGGGGGGGGGCGGGCGGGGCCAGCAGCTACTGGTGCCATCTTAGGATACCCTGTGTATAGTCAGCTGCTGTGTTGTAGCTCTCCTTTCCCACCAAAGGTGTAAGGGCTTAGAGTCTTTTCAGGCAACAGGTTTGAGCCTGTCTCTTTTCAAAGTTCTTGCCCTATCACAGTTTGCATATTGTGATTGACCCAGTTTTTTCCCAAAGTCTGGAATAAGCACCTGTATCATCCCAGCTCCCCAGAGGACACACAGTTCAGACACGCCTGCTCAAAACTCACTCAGAGTATTGCTGATGTAGACTGGTGGGGTAGAGTGGGGAGCCACATACCCTCAAAGTATGAGGAACTTGCCCTACAAATAATAAGACTTCAATTTTCACTGCTACCCAGTGGCTACTGTGCACCCTTACACTTTGCTCAGGAGAGCAAGAGAACCAGCAAATGGAGACTCTTTGCTGTACTTCAAATGAACTACAGGAGGGCATTCGTACTTGTAAATAACCAGTATATTGCCTAATCTGGATAAACAAAAGTGGAAATTTGTTTATTTTTCACTAAAGAAGAAATTTTCTCATTTTAAATAAATTAATCCTTGGAGAAACTGTGTATCTTTAGGATCTCCATTTATCCTCATTGTAATGGGCCAGTCCAAATTCTGCCTGATATGATTTCTGTGCTGTTTGGATAATGCAAAAAGAAAGGAAGATATAACTGGGCTTGGGATCATTCTGTAGCCAGAGCTGCCTCTCCTCTCTAAGGTACACTGTATTCTCACCCTCAATCTTCATTTGTCTCCCAGGTGCAATGGGTCAGGCTTTCTCATAACAGCAGATACCAGTTGCTGTCAGAAGACAAGCATACCAGGACAGCAGTCTGGTCCTAACTTGCTATCACATAGGAATTTATGTCAGTGCAAGAAGTGCTTCAAAATATCTCAATTTAAGCTTATCCACTGGACTATTTTTAATTCCTAGGACTCAAGAGCCTTTCCATATACGGCAGGGGAAGGGAGGGAAGAATGGGTGGGGAAATTTCCTCTTCTGCTTTATATGGGCCTGACTGCAGGAGCAGATTCATCAAAGTTGTTACATTCTGTATCAGAAAAGGAAATTGTTCTTGTTTGAAGCGGATGTACAGCAGCATCACTTGATGAGATAGGATGCTTATTTATAAGTTGCCTGTTCATTGGAGGGTCTTACAGATTACCTCTGCTAACAGCGTAGTCACATTTCTCTGCAGAGAGTGTGAGAGCAACAAGCCAGCTATCAGCCTATTATAACGCATATGGGTCACAGGAGTTGTGAAGAAGATAAAGTATCTGAATGGCAGTTTGAACTTATTGCACCACATTTTCTACTTGGCTTTCACCTTCAACAGCTGTGACTGATAATTGCAGTTACATGGTTGGTAGGCTAGCTTAATCGTTTTGCAACTCTCTGCAGTGTAGGAGACCCAAAAGTTTAGGTCTCTGTCCTTTCTGCTTAGAAATAGAGCAGAAAAACATTTTACTTTGCCCAGGAGCTTAAAATTAATCACCTGAACTATTGATCCAATTTTTTCCCAAAGTCTGGAATAAGCACCTGTATCATATACTGATCTTACAGGAAGTTTGCTCCTTGCAGTATGAAGCAGTGTTGAATAGCCCTTGGCCCTTGCTGCCCAGTAAGCAGCCAACCACTAGGGAAACAAGGACAACAACCTCCATGGGTGAATCACTGATGAAGGGTCTGATCTCACTTCATCATGCACTGACCTGGGAATTGCCTTCACTAGGGAAAGCAATTTACATACGCTGGTGTATGCAATCTAGTCATATGCCTTTGCTGCCTTTGCTTATGAATCTCTCAGTATTAACATTCTTTTTTTTTTTTTTGCTTCAGATGTCAAACAAACAAAGATTAACAAAGACAGAAGTGAGAGAAATGCTGTGCATCTGGAACACTTTTTATCCAGCTTTAGGTTTGAGTATGGCATTCGAGCTTACACCTTTGGCTTATATTCTTCTACCACAAGCACAGAGGTGTTATTTTCACGGTTGATGTAATAGCTACTTGGGCAGACAGAAATTGCCCGATAATTGCTAGGTTCCAGGATTTTCAGAGTTGAATTGGAAGAAATTATAATGCAAACAGACAACAAGAATCCCTCTTCCTGTCCAATGTTGTTTCCATCAGATCTGAAGTTACATGGGACTTGCTGAAAACGTGGG